GTATGCATTGGGGTTTGGTGGACGGGTACTGCCAGGGTGTCCAGCCACTAAGCAGGAGAAGGACTAGGGTTCTTAACCAAAGCCTTTAGTTCTGACAAGAACATAGCCGCAAGGCAGCAGGCGAAGCGAAGTGGAGGCCCATTTACTTGGACCAATTACTCCTCCACTATCTTCTATCGACTGAAACGCAAATTATAGTCGAACCCCCAACCTGGAGGACCAGGAGACTGAACTTCGTCTGACCTCTACCCATTGACCTTCCAGGCATGATAAGATCTCCTGGCTTTATAAAGCCATCCTGTGTAGCTCGTTGGGTCACAGAGGTGCACAAGCCATCACACCACGTCAAGGTGTAGTCTCGTCGTGATGCAATGCACAAAAATGGGGAAAGCAAGGCGGTGGTCGTGGATGGACTCGAACACTCGTCGTCCTCCGGGGTAGTAATTCGGTGACGTGTTACCACCGGGCCATCACCGCCCTAAACGCAATCCCGCGCTGTACCCCGGTGAGAGCCAGGAATTCTAACCGCTAGACCACGCGGGACTGAACGAAATGAAAAGTTCCAATCTCACATAAGCACATACACCACCACTTACATTCAACTCCTTCAGGGCCAAACTAACGTGTTGCAGAGAGGGTCTCACGGAAGAAGGCTGTTCCTCTGTGTTTCGATTTCGTCGAATCGCTTCCTGGGTGGCCAGATTAATGGCTCGGCGACAGACATCGAGAGCGGTCCGAACATCACCGGTAGATGCCGATATCTGCAAAAACAGAAAGTAGATGTGCGCAAGTCAGGCACACAAATGTGGTTACTGTTGTGTACTGAAGAATCACAGAATTAGAGATGGGTTGGGAACTACACTGAGAAATACAGATCGAATGAACTTGACAACGAAAACACTATTGATGGATCACCCGTTAGTGTACACACTAACTTGTATATATTGTGATGAAAGGCAGTTCAAAGAGAGTCCTGGCTAGCGACCGAAGCAAGAATGGGGCCCATCCGAC